ATACATATCAAAAAGTTATGACAAGTAAAAATTTACTTATTTGCAAGGCTCCAATTACATATCTGCCTTTAACTAAAGTATATATGCTTATTTCGGCATAATTTTTTGATGGAAGTTATATGTTTTAAAAACGAAAGTTTTCATACCCACCGTCACTATTTTGCAGAACGTTAATACAGAAAACTCGCACTGTCACATTGGACCCCGTGGCTCAAGGGAGCCCATTCTCTTCTACTTGCGCAGTACTATCCAAGTAGAACAAAAAGTCAAGATAATATCAAAATAACGTCATATTGATAGTTTAGTGTGTTAATTTAGTATTTTATTAATTTAATATTTCCAAGATACGTTACGAAAAAGTAGTACTATAGCAATCAGTACTCGGTACTGAGTGATCAGTACTCGTAGTATTGACAGTATTAGTATGTTAATACTCATGAATATTGCAGAATGGTCACTGTGCCTATTAGTTTTTACAGTACTGGCAGTACTATCATGATAGTACTCCGAATATTAATCTGATAAAGTACTGACCACTTCAATACTTTGAAGTACTAATGAGTATTATTGCTTGTAGTACTGTCAGTACTGTAAGCACTGACAGACAGACACAGTACTGACCATTCTGCAGTATTCATGAGTATTAACATACTAATATTCTCAATACTACGAGTACTGATCACTCAGTACTGAGTACTGATTGCTAGTACTACTTTTTCGTAAGGGTAAATGTATCCGTACGAAAAGATCGGTATTACAATGTACATTTAATGCATGTACATTTTTCATAAAGAATTGTGATCATTATAAGACAATATACATGATACATTTAAATTATTGATTATATGGATAATATTATATTTATGCATTAATATCGCTTCATGACTTCGCGGATCCAGTCTATATATGAAGAAACCTTAGTATACACTCGTGGTAAGTTGTCAGGACAAGATTGATCTCCGTAACTCATAATACCTATTTGAAAGTCCTGGCCATTTTTTCTTACGATTAGAGGACTGCTGTTTATCTAAAAATAAAATATTATGTAACACATATTAAATAACAGTTATGAAAATAAAGAAACTTTCGAGGTTTATTTATTAAAGCTGACTAAAACGATATGATATGATTTATGCTGCGCGTTAGAATATTGCACTTATACTTGCAATTTTTGTAGTATACTATTATCTATTATCATAAACAATAACTTTATTATTTGTGATTATGTTTTACTTCGAGAGCACAATCTAATGTTCCACATTGGGGACAAAAGAATTGTCCGAAATCTGCGGCCGTGCAAATGTGCTTGTCGTTGATGGGCCAGTATTCTCTGCATACATTATTTTCTAGAATCGACAACGTGGCGTACTTAAGTTTCATACTTTCGCTAGCCATGTTATCTCTCCAACCGACCACATACGCATCTTTGTTCACAAAGCTTTCGTAATATGCGAGTTTTACTGGCTGAATATGATCTAAAATAGAGAAATATTATATTTAACTAATAATTTCTTAAAACCAATATTGAGGCATGATATACATTCGTAATACTTTTTCAGTAGTTTTATTTTGTGACATTTTTTTAGTATGCATCAAAGTATATATCCAAGATTATAAAAGAAGCTGTACGTAGATATACAATACGATTTTTTATTTCCACGAGTCTCCGTTCCACATTTATAAGACCTTTTTATTTAAATCGTTATTAACTTTCTGCGTATTTTCCATAGAATAATTAAATACTACCGACATATAAATAAGCGCAAAAGGAAGAAGAAAGAGAAATATCCATTTAAATGTACTTACTGGAAAAGGGAATATCTTGTGGCATATAGAGTAAGGCAATATCATTGTAGCCCTTTGCGTATTGCGGATGTATAAACGCTTGAGTCGGAATCATCAGCACACCGAGGAATCGAAGAAGACTGTGACCAATTCCATACTTGTCGATGATATCGAACACTACGAAAAATGTACTTACGTATATAATGGAAAAAGGAATACCTTGTGGCATATAGAGTAAGGCAATATCATTATAGCCCTTTGGCGTATTGCAAATGTATAAACGCTTGAGTCGCAATCATCGACATACAGACAACTCGAGTAAAAATGTGTTTTTCTCCAATCTCGTCAACGTCGAAATCTACGAAAAGTGTTCCGGGGTTTTTTTCGACGCAATGGGCGGCTGTGAGAACCCATCTTTTGGATAAGATTGTGCCGATGCACAGTCTCCTCGAATATTTGCCGTCCAACATTTGGTGCACTATTACCATGTATGGAAAGCTTGGGGACTTTAACGCAGTTGTGGATCCCTCTGTTATGTTAGTTATTGCTTCATCTATTAAAAAAAAATGTCATGCAGTGTAGCGAAAAATGATTATTATTAGCTTAATTCGGTGGTAATTATTTAGAATAGGGCCTTTTCCGAATTTTGATATTTTTTTGCGGTTTTCTTGGTAAAAAACTTTGTTGTGACTCCGACAGTGATAATCAGTCGAGGGAGCCCGAAAAATATGTACCCTACCTATTTTTTTACTTATCTTTTTACCTATTTTTTCCGGATTTTCCGACGTTATAAATATATATCGATCAAGCCTACTTAGAACTTGATCCGTTCACTTCTTATTGAGATCTCAAAATCTCGGGTACTCGCAACTCGTGCGTTCGCGTAAAAGAGTCACGGTGCGTCTCGCTCCGAGCGTACTTGGCGCGAGACACTACCGTGTCTCTTGATATAGCTCTTAAAAGGACCGATTTTGATCCTGAAAAGAACCGGTAGTAATTCGTGAATCATGTCTATTTTGTTGCGTCATTTCGGTGTCAAACAGTTTGTGTCAATATTAAAGGAATAAGTAATTTGCTGAAATGTGTGTATAGACAGTACACATGTAGGCGAAGGTCAGTGGGGGTGGATCTCGGTTTGCGTTGAAAACCCGAAAAATGATGATGCGGAAAGTACATGCAAACCGAGGTCAACTCCCATCCACCCCCGCCTGCATGTGTACTTTCAAGTAAAAGAAAATTGAACGTTTGCGTGGAAAGTTGAACGATACTTAAAAAAAAATAGATTTAAAAAATAGGTAGAATACACATTTTCGGTGCTCCTCCGATTGATTATCACTGTCAGAGTCATAATAAAGATTTTTACCAAGAGAGCCGCAAAAAAATATCAAAATTCGGAAAAGGTCCTATTCTAAATAATTACCAAATTAACTAAAACTTTTTTAATTTTTGTTTTGTCTTACCATTATTCGCGTCAAGAACGATGGCATCGTTGGGATTGTCGCATGTGACGTTTCCAGATTCGCTTCCCAAGTACAGGCTTTGAGTATATTGACATATTGACAAACAGAGTACAATGCACAGTAATACCTTCGTACTTAGCGGACTCATGATAGACTGTTCCGCGTGCCGTCCCTGCAAATTTCCCATTATTATGCAGTTGCGTCGATATTCAGGCAATAATGACGACTAATAAAATTATATATATTAATTTTATAATTTTGTTGTTATTGTCGCCCGTCCATCGAGCGAAACGGCTCTCATTTGCCTTTATGACTTATCTATTACTAATAAAATTATTAACATTTTTGACAACGTTTATGTGAGCTGTATTAGATGTAAAAACTCCGGAAAATAATGCATGCAAATATTATACATACCATATTATTGCATAAAAGACACTAGCATGTGCACATTATTTTCGATTATTTATAATTGAAGCGATTATACCATACGTGTCTTTATTAAAGGTATTTTTTATGGCCGTTGTATTGTCCACGGGTATTGTGGTACAAATCGGGACTTTTGATTATTATTTATGTATTAAATTCGATACACGAAGCGCAAAAAAATTTGAGATCTTTTTCTCCCGAAAATTTAAGCATTATTAATTAATTTTTATTAACTTTTACAAGTTCTTTAAAATTCTATTAATATTGTTCATCTTTGGTTGATTGTCGGTATAGTTCGCAGATGTTATTTTTGTCATTTTTAAGAGATATTTGTTATTCTAACAAAATTTAATGTGCGACTGTCGCTAGTGTTTCTATTGTCGCTAATGTATGGAAATTTAAGGGGGTCCTATAGTAGCAACATTTAGTTAAATGAACTAAACTTTTAATTGGCTTTACGGAATTGCAAAATTCTTTTACAGAATTGAAGTACGTACAAAAATGTAGGTTTGTCTGGTCGACTTTACATCGAAAACAAAAAAAATTAAAAATTTGAGCACATAGCTGTCACTGACGATAATATTTGTTTATACAAAAATACTACAGGTTACATATACAAAATGAGATACGGTCAGACCTAGGGAAAACATTTCAGAACAATATCGTGCAATTAGAACTAAGATTGAAAGTCTAGAAAAAAAGATTACTTCTTTTAACTTTTTATATGCAAATACACATGCGGAATGACAAGAAGAGCAGTATGGCGTGTAGCGAGAGATGGCGCAGCAATCGAAACAAGGACAGATGCCTCTCGTTAGACAAGGGCAGATATAGACCGGTAATATAGAAAATGATAGAAAACGAATTAGAACGGAATTAAAAATGTTCGACATTATCAACATCGAGGAAGTTCGGCCTTCACTATATAGGATCCCCTTAATGGGGTCAAAATAATGAAATGTGGTATGAAAGAATGTCGCAAGTCAAGTGAATTTACTTTACGCACACGAAATCAAAGAACTTCGCCTATTTTTATAAGAGGTTTTGGCGAGGGTTTTGGGCTATCCGGGCCTAGTCATTAATCATACATAATTTTGTAGAATGTAGGTAATATGAATGTAGGTAGTATAGTATATTAAAGAAAAAATAATTTTAGGTTTTAAAACCCTCTCGCCGAAGGCGTTCTGACTTCCTAATGATGTCATTTTATTTGTTCGATGGCTCATCCCCAGCAGCATTTTGACGTCCGCCCGACGTTAAGATAAACACACTTAACGTTGGTAAATACACGAACGTTTTCGCTACGTCGTTTCAACCCTCTTTTGCACTAATTTGGGAAATCAAATTTAGGTTATACCAACGTTGGGATCCGACTTATATAAGTTAAATTGAGGTTACATTTTTTTCACCAGTTTTAACGTTGGTGTAAGTAATTTTTATAAGCTTTGATTTTTGTACACTCTGCTAGACCTGAGGTTATTTTTTCACAACGTAATATTTTAGGTGTAGTTTTTGTGCTTCTATTCAAACCATATGACGGCATTGGTGTAATAAATGTATCATAATACGTACTTATCAATTTGGCACAAATAAAATGGCTTTAGAGGAAAAATATAGTTTGCGCAGTCTTTGATACTATTGTAATTTTACCATAAATACACAAACCCAGCACTGAAAATTTATAACAAAACCCACTTTATTGATAAATGTGGAAATGATAGGTCAAAATTACTTCAAATTAGACGAATCCCTTCTAAAATATTCCAATTTACTAAATATTCTATTAAAAAACTAAAATTTTTAAAATGTAGATTTTTATTTTTTTAATCAAAATTACTTTTAAAATAAACATGTTGTCAAAACTTTAACAACAGATATTATATAAAAGCTTTAAATTGTTAATAAAGTGTGTTAAAAAATATAAATCTAAATATACTGGAAAATGGCGGATTATTTGCCTTTCTCTTTGAGGAATGAAAATAGCGAAGTCAGCATTTCACGTATCAAACTTTACGTAGTAAAAGGTGCGATAAATTCCACTAAGATTTGTATTCTCGTAAAATAATGAACATTTCTCGAGATTTCTTAACGTCAGTCAGAAATGACCACAGGCGACGTTTCACAATAACGTTAGCGTTTTACAACGTTTGATAACAAAACGTTGGTTTACGTTGGGAATTACGTATTGAAGTCGCTCGAAAAGTGTGGTGCAGAGTATAACGTCAGGCGAACGTTAAATATCTTAACGTCGGGTAATAGGACTTAAACTGTTTCAAATTTGACGTTGGGAAAGTGATAAAAAAAGCACGTCGTAATTTTAACGTTAAGTCACTTAAAAATAAAAGAGCATATAGAACCGTAACAAGGTGTAAGCGTTAATATATTCACATTAATAAAAAATACAAACGTTTCGGTTTAACATCGAACCATCTTCAGTGTCTTAACAATTTATATAACGCAATTAATACAAACAAAAACGCACGACAAATCATTAAATTCCGGATTACATTTAAGGAGGTTCGATGGCTTCATCGGAGGGAGTAGTGGGACGCGGGGATTCTGGAAACAGCGCACTAGCGTTTGAAGTAGTGGGAATGAAGAGGATTGCTCTGATTGGTCGCCGCGTGCGTATAATGCGTGCTGCTGTTCACGTCGTTCACGACCGTGGCAGTCTAGCAGACGAAAAATCAAGCAATTTATGCTTTAATAATTAATTTTTCTACGAAATGTGAGGTAACCTTCCCCTTTCTTTTGCTCATTTATTTGTAAATTATTAAGTTACATGTGCATATTTTTCTTTCTTATCATTTGCATTTTTTCTTGCACATATTTCATTCTGAAGGTATATGCAATTATATATCATTTCCCATAAAAACCTATGTTAAAAAAGCAGCCAGTTTCATGAAATTTTAATATGTTGTTCTGGAATGTAAAATAAAATTATGTGAATTTTTTGGGAATTTTTCACCGTCCCGTTTTGAAAAAAATCTAATCCAAAAATTGTACTTTTTAAATTTTTGGAGTAAATTTTTTTCAAAACAGGACGGTAAAAAATTCCTAAAAAATTCACATAATTCTATTTTGCATTCCAGAACAACATATTAAAATTTCATGAAACTCTCTGCATTTTGTTGTAGCCATCGAACCTCCTTAAGGAATTAAGAAATTTCGTTCGTTGTACGTCAGGCTGTAAATTAATTAATAGCGAATCAGTAGGGTGTGTTAACAGTATAAAATAGTAAATTAATACGTACATCGGAGAATTTTTTTCATTCGTGATGCGAAACTTTGTAGGGTCTGCATTGTTAATGTGTTCTAACGTGTAACAACAACAATATGACAAGATACTCAGCGGCGAGAGAACGGAACATTGTATATATAGACAAACAGGCAGGAAAGGAAGGGGAAAGAAAAAAGGGAAGTAGGTGGGAGAAAAGGTTAGTGAGGGAACAAATTCAAAACCGAGAGGTATTCCTTCGGAAGAGATTCCGTATCATTTTGCTTATTTAACGAAGAGGTCTGTCGTTTAATGTGTATCATTTCTGAGATTAGTCTCTTCTGAAGTGACGTCTCGACGTCCAAAATCTCAACGTTTTCCCAGTCAAACTCGTGGTCCGTCTGCAAGCGATGGCACGAGATGACCGAAGGAGAACCCGATATCTTTTTAATGTCCGATCTGTGTTCTTTAACTCTGGTTTGTAATTGTCTTTTGCTTTGGCCCACATATAGGTTACATCGCAATCTCTACACGGAATCTTATATACGATGTTGCTGTGGGCCATGCAGCTTATCTAAATTATCTTTGCCAGTTTTTATGAACGTCCTTAGGGGGTGTGCCACAGAAAACGTAACCTCAGCATTTTTTATGAACTTTTTGAATTTCTCCGACGTGGATCTGACATAAGGAACTGTGAAATATTTAATGTTGTTAGATTCAAGAGACAAATCAACCTTTCTCTTTTTCAAAAAGAATTGTGTTAATCTCTTTTTTATGAACGAAAAAATGAAGGATAAAGGATAACCGTTTTCTAAAAGAATCCGGATAATAATAAGGTTAAAATTCTTGATGTGAAATTGTTGATGAAAAATAGTCATAATCTTGTCAACAAGCCCGAAAATGACACTTTTTTTATGGGAAATTGGATGGTGTGAATGATAGTTTAGGTATCTCCCCGAAAAAGTAGGTTTATGGTACCAATCAAATATGAACCTCCCATCTCTCAAAATCACCGTGACATCCAGGAAGTTAAGTGTATTATTTTTACTAATTTCAATTGTGAACTGTAATCTACTATGCTGTTAAAAATTAAAAATTTCTAAAATTTGTTCAAAAAATTCAGGTGGAGTTGCCATAACGTTAAGGATGTATGGGTGACGTCTCAAAGCATTAATTACCAAAAATCTAAAAATTTCGTAGATTGTTCTATTATTACGTCTAAGTATCTGTAAAATTTCAGCACAATTCTCTTACTGGTTTAAAAGTTATTGTAATTAAGGATGTATTGGAGGTATTTCAAATATATTCAGAAAGTGCTGTAAATTGTTTCTAAATTAAATTAAAAATACTCTGTAAAATTTTGAAGTTATTTAAGAGTTATTTAAGTTTAAAGTTGTTAAAATTAACATTATCTCTTATAGAGAATTGACATTTTTGCTGTGTGTGTAAATATAAATAAAATATAAATAAACCATTAAGATATTTCTTAAACTTATTTTATGTGTAAAACATACATTATTGATATTGTATTTTAAGTTTCA